AATAAGCGGAATTGAATTTGGAGTTTCCTGTGAATAAATATATAATTTTTATTAGAAGGTATACAGGCTGTTTGGCAGCAGTATATGACGTGGATTTCAAAAATTGTTATAAGTAATCTACAGGGAATTATGATGTGTGCCATATATGGTTAGAAAGCTTATCAAGTCTAGTTTCTAACGCATTAAAGGGATCATAATTCTGATTTGAATATGTTGAGATATGACTGTTTTAATGAAAAGAGGTCAGGTTGCCAGTATTAATTAGTTAAGTTAACCATTGTGTAACTTAGTTGATTTTTGTATAAATGGTCTCAAAAAGGGTTGATTAAATTCTGATATGTTGAAATGATCTTGGATAGGTCATTAATTATTTTGAGGGAAAAACTAAGTGGTGGAATCTAAAAGAGGTAAGTAGAATCTCACACACTTTGCTTGTTTTCGAATCTATGTATGTATGTATGTTTTTAAATGAATGAATATTTTATTTTATTATTTTTTGATGTATGAAAATAGGATCAAGCATATGATTATTTTGTGTTTCTTTATATAAACGATGGATCATGCTTATGAATGAAATGAGAAAATGGTTTATATTTAAAGAATAATTTTATGATAGCTATGTTTTTATATCCCTGGGAAGTGGGATAATTGACACTAGAACTAGTTCTACGACCCTAGCTAATGGGTAATAGTAGTTAGCAAAGACATGATCATACGACCCTGGCTAACGGGTAATAGTAGTTAGCGTAAGCCATGGCTAACGGGTTATAATAGTTAGCAATGATCATGAGAATGAAATTGTCGATACGGCCAATGTGACGGGTTATAGCAGTGACCGTAGCTAACGATTTGAATGATAATGATGATTTATGATGATTTTAATGATTGATCCATGATTTGGTTTGATTATAATATTTAAATGATAACATATTTTGCAATGATTTATGAAGTGACATATTTTGACATTGATTTATGAATTTATGAAATATTTGACAAAAAGATGATCATGAAATGTTTTGATATTATGATTTGATGAATGTTTTGAATGATCTATATGATGTGTAAGAAAATAATGCTTGATCTGGTAAGGTGTGTGAGCCTATACTTATTGAGATGTGGTTTGCTCATTTCCCTTTTACTTTTTCTTTACAGATGACTAAGTGATAAGTTTAGTTAGTCTTGTATGAAGCTAGAAGATGAAATGGGTAAGATTACTTAATCGTCGGAGAATATGTTGGCCAATAAGATTTTAAGAGGTAGTTTTGTATTTTATATAGTTTGTATTTGGATATATAAAGATGTATCATCAGTTGGATTAAATATATGAATTTTACTTGGTAAATTATTTTATTAAAGATTTTTAGAATGTTTAAAAAAGAAGGCTTCGTATTATTTTAAGATTTTCTTCAAGGTAATATGATCGTGTTACGTCTCGATTCGGGGCGTGACACAGAGGCACTTCAGTTTTCTCAACTGATGCAGTTGTTCCACAGTACGGAAACTGTTTCAAGGCCACAAAATAGGGAGATCTAACATAGCACAAGACCTCAACATATGCCCATTGTGCAATGAGATGATGGTAGACCCAGTTGCAGTTTTCTGTGGCCACAGCTTTGAGAGGAAGGCAATTCAGGAATACTTCAAGAGTGGAAAGAAGAATTGTCCCACTTGCAGAGAAGAGCTTTAAAATTTAGCGCTTACTCCTAATGTTAACATTCGGAGCTCTATAGAAGAACGGAATAAAAGAGATATGGACTAGAAATTTCAAGAAGCAGTCCATGGAATCGGTTCCAATGACTATCTTAGGAAAAACAAAGCCTTGGATGACATGCAGGTTATGGTGGAAATCCCTCAATATGCAGTGAAAGCTGCAGAGGAAGGACTCATCCCAAAGTTCGTCGAGTCCTTGAAGGACAATAGGCTGAAAACCATGGCAGCAATGAAATGCCTTTACTGCTTAGCTAAATACTGTGATGACCAGAAGGTAAGGAAAGATTGGATGTTCACTTCAACATGCGCATATCTGTTTAAATCTCATCCATTCAATATGCTCTTTTCTAATTATACTTTTCACTGGAGCAAACATTCAAATATCTCAAGAGCTCTTATTTTGGGAATTGCAGCAAGAAATTGTTCAAGCAGGAGCTGTTTCCCGCATTCTGGAGCGGATCTTTAATGGTGAAACAGAACCTCGTACAATTACCGTCTTGTTCAAACTGTCTAAAACAGAAACTCTTGTAGAGAAAATAGGGAATACGAAGGATTGTATTCCTCTCCTGGTTTCTTTGCTCAGTAACCCAAACCCTGATATATCTCACGGAAAGCTCAAAAAGTATTGCAGAATCTTTCCTCCAACACACACTTTGTTGTGAAGATGGCTGAAGCTGGATACTTTTAGTCATTTGTTGCTCGATTCAACCAGGGTAAAGCAATAAATCCAAGGGAGAAAAAAACTGATAGGATGATAGGTTAATTGAATAAATTTACTTATTTGAAAGCCTGTTCTTGCAGCTGCAGGACACCAAGAGCTTCGAGCATTGATGGCTGCAGCCTTGGTAAAGATGGAACTCAAAGAAAACAACATAAGTCACTGGGAAGATAAACAGTTTGTTCACAATCTAGTTCACATGCTATCCTCCAACTCCCCAGCATGCAAATCTGCTTGCAATCAAATGTGTCAAGAAGCTCGTACAATACCCCAAGATGGTAAAGCAGTTCTTATCAGACCCAGCAACTATACCACTTTTGCTTAATCTCATCTCGTTCAGGTCAGATCCTCTCCTTAAACAGGAAGCTGCTGAGATTTTAGCTCTGCTGATAGAAGCTTGTCAGCAACCGCAATTTCAGATGAATCAAAGGCTGCAGGAGCTGCTATCAGAGCATAATGTCAGTCTCTTTTTGCAGCTTGTTGCAAATTTTGATCCTCAATTTTAGATTCAGTTCTTACACTTGTTGCTTGAGCTTAGCAATAAAGCAAAGACAACTCAAAATCTGATATGATCTAACACACTTGCTGTCAATCACCTTTTCTCTTGCCTTGATAGTGACCAGCCTTTAGTTAGAAGATGGACAATGAAGCTACTACACTGTGTCAGAAGGTCATCCTGATAGGGTGCCACTCCCACCACCCCCTGGAAAAGAAACTGCCATCAACACCTTAGCATCCATTCTTGCTTGCTCACCAGATTTTGAAGAAAGGTCCTTTGCTGCTGGAATTATTAGCCAACTTCCAAAAGATGATACAGATATTGATGAAATACTTCTTTGAAGGCCATTCATGAAGTGATTTGTAGTTCAGATGAAGAATTTGATGGGTTGGAGCACCCACTAACCAAGACAAGTCTCTACTTGAAAAAGCTCTAGCAGCACTTTTACGTTTCACGGACCCGCCAAGCCTGAACTTCAGAGGCAAGTGGGACAGCTTGAGCTATGTCCATCATTAGTTGGAGTTCTTTGTACCGGCAGCTCACTGGCCAAACAGCGAACAGCCATTACCCTTACGCAACTATCATGGTCCACCAACCTGTCAGCCTCAGATGCAAGCTTCAGGGGAAAGCAAGCGAACTCCATGCCACTGCTTAACATGATTAAGCTCTTCTCTAACATGTCTCGGTGCTGCTCAGCTTCAGTAGACAATGAAATTTCATGGCCCATCCATGGTGTTGCATGTTCACAGAGACATGCATTCTACCTTGTCAAGGCAGTTGCTGTGAAGCCACTATTGCGAACTTTGAGTGATACAAACTCGGTTGTGGCAGAGGCTGCCCTAATGGCACTTGAAACATTGTTAGAAGATCACAGCACATTGTCATGTGCAACTGCTGCAATTGTAGAGAGTTAAGGTATTGTAGCAGTTCTGGAAGTCCGTAGAGAAGGGATCCATATCTGCCAAAACAAAAGCCTTGGACTTATTCCAAAATATCCTAAACCATTCACAAATTAGTGATCTATTGTTTCAGAGGTCTGAGGGAATCCTCATTCAACTGCTTCATGAGGATGCCTTTCGGAAGAAAGTAGCTCCAGTGCTTAAGCAGATGAATGTTCTTCCCGAGCATCCTTCTATTTCTGAATTACTTGTACAGTTGTAATCAATTCGTCGAACACCAGTTGATAAGGAAAAGGGTCGAACACAGCCCACAACAAAGCACGTTAATTTTTCAGATAGAAAATTCCTTCAACAGGGGGAGGAATTATTTAGCTGATAAAAAAAATAAAAAAGAAAGAAAAATATTTCCTTCAACTTAGAAAAATATTTCCTTCAACTTGCTTGCTATTAGGTACACAATGCGAACAGAAACGTCATATAAAGATAGATACCAGGGAATTGTCTTTAGTGTATAAAGTATAGTATAGGGTTGGAAGAGTCGTTGAATATTTAATAGGTTGGTCAGCAATTAGGAATAGAATTGTCGAAGCATTGTATGACATTGTTTTATATTTATTATGTGCAAAAGCGACATTGTGAACTTTGATGCAAGTTTCAGAATTGCAAATAACATTCCAAGATATGATATCAACTGGTTTAGATTTAGACAATAAAAAAAAAAAAAATTCCGCATTGTATATTTTGTGGGGGAAGAGAGTGAGTTTTGTGAAAAGAAATGGAAATGGATAAATCATAGATGGCTTATCGCCCATAGTTCCACCTAAAGAGTAGTTCAAAATGCAGTTAGGAAACGTTCAATGCTTTGTTAACTAACCTTTCATCCATTAACGGCCCAAATTTCAGCCATTGATGGCCAAAATTTCAGTCATTGACGGAGACACTTGTAGAAAAAGAGAATCAATATAGAGATCAATCCAGAATATTAACAACAGGACCAAGTTTCCCAAATTCTTCTCCTACATGCCTTCAACGTGGCTTCCTTTAAGTAATCATGCATTGCAGCCACGTCTATGGCGAACCTTCTCCCTTGCTTTATTTAAACCACCAGATCCTGCAATCAATCATTCAAAATTATTTTTATTTAGCTGCTTACATTTTATTGAATTTGGATAAAATGGCTTTTAGAACAACGGTATCTTTCATTGCACCACCATTGGCCTCCATTTGTTTTTCTTCTTTTTATTGTTAATTGATGTGATCTTGCAGGGCTACTGGAAATCAATGATCACTCCAAGGAGTCCGAGCCGATCCTTTGCATTATCGACATCCCAAAAGGTGAAACAATACACCACAACCGCAAATGCGGCTGCAAGTGACCGCCCTCACAACAAGTTAGTTTGATCAACCCGCACATAATGTTTAGCAATATAAGAACCAGGATTTTACTATATGCCTTTTTTTTTTTTTTTTCTTTCAATTGTGACAAAATGGTAGACATTTCCAGATACTCAATAACAGGGGAATATGCACCGATTTATATGCTGATGGGAATGCTTGGGGCGGCACTATGCATGGCGATTCACACAGCAAAGCAGCAGTTAGTCCATTCCCCTGGTGTTGTAATCAGCAAGAAGAACAGGGAATCGATATCAGAGGCTGACAATCCTGATCAAGCTCTTGCTTCTGCGGATAAGTTTTTGAACAAGTCTTTTCTGAGAAAAGTGGCTCACATTCAGGATAACAAACGCACCCTTCCTGATCCTTCTCGCCCTGATCCTTTCACCAGGTTAATATCTTGATAGATAATGGACTTTTCTTCTCATACCTTTACTTTGCTTGCCAACACCACTTTTTATCCTTGACAATGGCATGACGTTGTTCTTTTGTTTGTAAATTGCAGGCCTCGAACTGCAGAGACACTCAAAACCGTTGGAGTTGATCCAATCCGCCGTTGAGTTAAAAATGGTGTTGCATTATAAATAAGTACTCGGTGGAATTCTTCTAGATGTTTTCAGTTAGTTAATAGCTTTGATGTATTGATTCGAGCCCCTTTTCCCTATTCAAATGATCATGGGAAACCATAAAGAGGCTCAAAGTACGTTTTGGTTGAGTTTTTTCCTAAAAGTACTTTGAAATCTTTATTCCAAGAATAAGATTCTTTGATTCTTATTTCCCAAAGGTACTCTACGCCATAAAAGCAGTTGATCACCACATCAGCTCTTGACTTCTCCCTAACTTTTTTTGTCTTTTCCCCTTCGATTTCCCTTTCTTTTCTCATTTTTTCTATCCACAATCATTCTGATTTGAAACTAATCATTAAAAAGAGCAGGATATTTTAATTGATCTCAAATTAATTGAATCAACGATGAAAATCATCTAATCTTTAAAAAATCCATATCTCTTTCTTTTAATGAAAGTTATAACCCTTAAAAAATTAGACAAATCTTTATAAACCAATTCACAGTTCATCGATATTGCTTTTATTAGAGATGATAGTTTTTCTTGATGGGTTTTGATATGATCTAACCCTTTATAATCGTTTTTTTACTGAAAATTAAATTTCGAGTGGAGTTGAGTAAGATAATAATAATAATAAAAAATTAAATTTTAAGTAAATTTACCTTCATTAGATTTGATATATATAAAATTTTTTTAATTATTTATTTAATTTTATATTTATATATTATATATTTAATTTTATATTTATATTAAAAAATAATATTTTATTAATTAAGATTAAATGAAATCAGATATAATTTTATATAATATCAAATCGAATAAAATTCAACTATAAAAAATAAAAAATTTATCAAATTAAATTAAATTTAAAATAAATAAAAATTCATCTTGACTCAGATCCCACCTTTTACCATTGGAGCCAAGGGATGACGGGTGATCTTTTGCTTTATCAAAGTGATGGAGCTTAAAGAGCCAGATTCACTTTCAAGCCGGTTGATTCCCAAATTTTTGGTAATTTTAAATAGCCCTCAACTATGCCAGGTCAATAGAACAAGCATCAAGAGAACAAAGAAACCCACCTGCCAGTTTTCCTTATAATTCTCGCTCCTCTGATGACCCTATGGCTCCTGCCTTGTACTTTTTTTTTTTTTGTCCCAAAGTCTCGACTGCCATGGACTTTAAGCTTATACAATCTCATTTATGGTTTTCTCCAATTCCATAAAATTTCTCTTTTTTTTATTTTCATAATATTTGTTGAGATTTGAATCTATTAATTACCTTGTTACTTTTTCAATGTTCTCCATCTGACATTGTATGGTGTTTTTTTTTTTAATATATATACAAAAAGACCTAAGGCAACATTTTATTTTAAAAGCCATATTAATAATTGATGTTATAATGTTTAGATTCATAAATTTATCGTTAGATATTAATTTGAAGAGTCATCACTAATTTTTTTTTTTAGGTGTGATTGACCACCTGATTGAATCTATCTCTTTTTAAAAAGAAATCTTAAGCTTAACTTAAGAATTTTTTAAAGGTAAATTCTATATCTGCAAAACCAAAATCAAGTTTGAAAGTACGGTTACGTGTGAGAAAGGTTATAGCACCCCCATAACGTCCATCGAAATATAGTGTTAGCTCAATTTCGTGTTATCCATTAAGTCTTAGAAATTTTACCAAGTAATTAATTATTGAAAATTATTTTTAATTGACTTCAATACTTTTGACAAAAAATTAAGAAAATCATCTCACCTAAAGAGTATACAAGAAAACTACTGTTTCTCTTGCAAAAACTCTGTCATCAAATTATTTAACATTAAAAATTTTCCAAGAAAAAAAGAAAAAAAAAAGAATTTGACTTTTTATATAGATTTTTTTTGTTGTTTTATAAAAAATTCATGCTTTTATATAAGAAAAATTGATACTTTCAATTTTTTTTAAAAAATCTTTTTTTGAAATTGTTATTTTTTATTTAAAAAAAATTGATATTTTCAACTTTTTTTCAAAAATACTTTTTTAAAAATTTTATTTTTAAAGAAAATTAATACTTTCAATTTTTTCTCAAAAATATTTTTTTTTGAAAATTTTTTTTTTCAAGGAAAATTGACATTTTCAACTTTTTCTTAAAAATATTTTTTTTGAAAATTTTATTTCTAAGTAAAATTGATACTTTCAACTTTTTCTTAAAAAATATATTTTTAAAAATTTTATTATTATTATTTTTTAAAAATTTATTTTCAAGAAAAATTGATACTTTCAACTTTTTCTCAACAAATATTTTTTTTGAAAATTTTATTTTAAGAGAATTATTGAAAAATTGAAAAATGCTTAATTAAATAAATAAATAATTTCAATTTAATCAGTAAATAAATAAGTAAAAAAAAATACTAATAATAGTAAATAAATAAAAAAAAAAACCTTGATGCGGCTCGAATAGGCTAAAATGGACTGCGGCTCTAGGGACAAGGACGATTAACACGGCTTGATGTGTGTGGCTCGGCTCGACGGCTCAACGGCTCAATGGCTCAACAGGGGTTAGGTGATACAGGTAAGAGAGTTGAGGCATTACGGGTCGGGTCGGACTGTAAGGAAACACGCGGATCTTATCGGGTTCTTAGCTCAAATGGCATCGTTTTTGGGCTATATAAAAGGCAAAGAAGTCATTTTGTCCTTAGACGCTCATTCTCCTTTCTCTTTCTTCTATTCTATTTCTCGCTTTAGGCGATTTTCAATCGTCGTTTTCCATTAAATGTCATCAAAAAAATTATTGGTTTCTGGGTTTTATCACTTAAAACTGAGTTTTTCACTGAAAAGCTGTTGAAAAACTTGAATACTGGTAAAAAAATTCACCGGATTTTGGAAATTTTCAAAAAATTTCCAAAAAACTTAGAAAAATCTCCAATAAAACAATTAATGCCATGAATTCCCAAAGAACCTTTTACTAAAAAAATCTTGAAAATTTCCAAAAAACTTAGAAAAATCTCCAAAAAAACAATTAATGCCATGAATTCCCAAGGAACCTTTAACCAAAAAAATCTTGATTATGATTCTTCTATTTTCTCTTCTTTTTCCTCTATGTTCTCGCTCTTATGATTGATGGGGTTTATATAGGGCTGGGTACACGATTGAATGGGATTTGAAAATCAAACTTTCCCCTTATCCAATCTATTTATCCCCGTTTAAAAACCAAATCCTTGATCTTGTTTTTTAAAAATTAAACTCTTAATCCTAGAGTTTTACTAGGACTGAAATTCTACTTTTATTTATTTATTATTTTTTAAATATATTAAGCTTATCCGAAAAGTGGGTGTCTACAATTTTTTCTCTTTGCATATTCTCTGTGAAACAGAGATTATGCAAAGACGTAGACATCCATCATAACCTTGTTCAAGAAAAAAAATACTTTGGTGTAACTAATCGAGTCTAAAAATGAAATAACCCAAAGAAGGATTTGGCATAAGCTAAGATCTAAAACACAATGACCTAGATTGAACCGAAGTCTGAAATAAACAACTTAGATTAAGCTAAAGAAGGATCTAGCATAAGCTTAAATTCAAAAGCAAAATGACTTGGTCTGAGTCGAAGTCTGGTATAAGCCAAAATCAAATAAAATAACCTGGATGAAACAAAAGTATGAAACGAATAATCTAGGCTAAACCAAAGAAGGATCTGACATAGGTCAAAATCCATAACAAAATGACCTAGACTGAACCTGAAGTCTAGAATGAATAATCTGGACTAAACCAAATAAGGATCTAGCATAGGCCAAAATCCAAAAACAAGATGACTTAGATGAAATCGAAGTCTAAAGTGAAAGCCAAAGAAAGATCTGATGTAAGTCAAAATTCGAAAACAAAATGACCTGGATTGAACCTAAGTCTGAAACGAGTACTTGGACTAAGTCGAAAAAAGATTTGACATAAATCAAAATCTAAAAACAAAATGACCTAGATGAAATTGAAGTCTGAAATGAATAATTTGGACTAAGTCAAAGGAGGATCTGACATAAGTCAAAATCCAAAAACAAAATGACCTAGATTGAACCGAAGTCTGAAATGAATAACTTAGACTAGGTCAAAGAAAGATTTAGTATATGCAAAAATTCAAAAACAGAATGACCCAGATTAAATCAAAGTCTAAAACGAATAGCTTGGACTAAATCGAAGAAGGATTTGACATAAGTCGAAAACCAAAAACAAAATGACCTAGATGGAATTAAAGTCTGAAATGAAAATGAATAACTTGAATTGAACCGAAAAAGGATCTAGCATATGTCAAAATCTGAAAAAAGAATGACCTGGATTGAACTGAAATCTGAAATGCATAATCTGGACTAAGCTAAAATACGTTAGTACAGGTTGTATTCGAAACAATTGTCACTTCATTCTTGATACTCCAGTGATCTACGATGTTTTAACACCTTCTTATAAAAGCAAATGACATGCGTACCTGAAGTATTATGAAATGCCAAATTTCCAATAACACCTACATGAAATGTTATGAGATGTTGGGTTTATCTAATTATGGTAAAAAGATTCTCAAGCTCTTTGCTGTTTTCATTTTTGCGTCAATGATAGATCTTTTAGCTTTTGAATATATGCGGTTAAGAAATTAAACTATCATTGTCTTTTAGTTTTGGCCAAATCGAGATCACCATTTCACTAAGTTTCCATTGCTCTTGTTTCGTTTACCCTTGCCACTCTTACTTTCAAAAGCAATAAAAAGAATTTTCATATCATTATTTGTTCATTCATTATCATTTCAATATAATGACAGATGTAAAGCAAATGCATATTTCTTTTGACCTAGGTAAAAGGGTAAACAAAAAGAAAATAATAAAAGAGGTTAATGTTGATATCAAGAAAGAAATGGATTTTATTGATTGAATGGGACTGAGTTACAAATATGGGCTAAAGTGGGCTGTCAAATGATCATGATCAAAGTAACCTAGACTTTTCTTCCCAAAACCATCTACCTAGAATCCTTGATCTTGTCAAGTTCATCAAATCACACTTGCCCCTTGCGTCATAAAAGTGTTATTTTAAACTTTATGCTGCCTTCTCAGACCTTCAACTTAGATATCCTCAAACTGCTCTTTTGTGGGGTTTTCAATTCGAGCCCTTCCTTCTTGGAACTCAAACCGCTCTTTATAGGTTTTCAATTTGAGCTTTTTTTTTTCTTTTTTTGCTTTTTT